ATATTTTATATAATTGATGAGAGATTAATTGAATTCTTTTGAATCGCCTATCGAATCTGGTGGGAGGAGATGATCGTCCATTTAGATTTGATCTATTCGATTATCTCTCATATAAGAAGGGGAGTGGCTATTTCGGCATACCCAAAATTTGAACGACCAATTTTAGACCAAAGGCCGCTACAAATACATTTCTATTACCCATATCTATATATTTAGATCAAATCCTCCAAGAATGCTAAAAGCCGCGAAGACATAATCATTATTCAGACGATATTTAAATCCGATTAAATCAATACAATATGCAAAAAACTATATATAATATATAATATATATTTTTATATAAATATAAATAATCTTTTATATATAATGACATACAATATTTTAATATATATATATTTATATATTAAAGAATATCCATTGCTTCCAAAAACGATAAAATATATATATAATAGAACGATACCGACATTTTCTGAAAAAGAAAAGGAAATGAAGGAATCAACATGAATATCAATGAAATATTTATAATATATATTAACTAATATATAAGAAATATTTATTACAATTATTTCATAATCAAAAAATTTTATGATTAGAAATTGATTTAATCTATTGCAGGCAAAATTAAATATATTATTATTGCATATATGTGTATAGAAAATATTCTATATATATATATTCCTTTTTGATGTCATTATAGAAAAGAATTGATTCCCCTCGGAACCCTGATCAGATCTGATCAAATCAATCAAAAATTGGCGCCAAGAGCTCTGCCAAAGGCGGCATATCACATTCAAAAATTGGCAATATATCCTAATGGCGCATTCCAATCCCCACCAAATATATATATATATTTTGTAATGCCCCTGCAAAGGATATTCTCCAATGTGCATTGTGAGGCCAATCACCCTGTATGCAGCTCTGATTATTGAACATCCATGCCCACAATAGAAATAGAAGATCATGACCTCGGTGCGGAGGCAACGGATATAATTCTTGTATCCCATTGTATCAAAACGTCAAATGTCCAGGCAAAATACGAATGAATACATGAATATATATCACCTGTGCATGCCATCTGTCAACCAATCTTTGGATCTTGATATATTCTTTTCCATCCCAATTGAGGACCAGAGGTGCAAATTCAAATCCAATATCCTCAATGGAATCATCTAAGCGTGCTTCCCGGAAAAGGGTGGTGGGAGACACAACAGGCATAATTTATCTAAATCAATCTGCAAATTACCCTATAATATGTATATAATATAGAATTATTACAATATAGATTATAATTAATATATATAGAAAAATTCGTTAAAATAGAATATAGAATAGATTTTAAAATAAAGATAATAGATAATATTATCATTATTCTATTATATCTTATTATTGTGTTTTATTCTATATTTAATATTATTCTTTTATATTATTATATATTGTATATTATATTTATATATATTTTTTTATTTTATGTATATTATATATTTATATATATTTATTATATATAATAGATTTATAATATATAAGAATTTCTATAATATTTTTTTGTAATATTATCTATTTTTAGTTGTGGATATTCTTATAATTATCTTTAATCATTTTAAATATATCATATGTCAATAAAAGCATTATTTGCAATTTTTTAAAAAGAATCAATCATTTAATCGAAAATGATATTTAATAGTTATATAATATTTATATATATATTAATTATTATTTTTATTCATTACATATTAAAAAATTATATTTATATATATATATTGTTCCATTTGCCAATAGTTCATGCTATGGGATACTATGGGGTCTTGCAAAAATAATAGGCAGACGAGCGCCGTCGGGTTACCGTCAGAATTGGTGGGCGAATGCTATCCCAATCATATTTTGAATTTATCCCGATTATATTGGAACACTCCATTCGTATTGTGACAGTATCCCGATCGTACTATAATGGTGTCCCGACACCATGACCGGGTTACCATCAGAATATGCCCGGCACACCATCCCAACATGATCGGCACATCGTCGCAATATAACCATAACATGACCGGGACACCATCACAATATGACCGGGACACCGTCGCAACATGACCGGGACACCATAACAATATGACCGGTCATATTGCGACGGTGTCCCAATTATATTGGGGTCATGTTGTGACGATGTCCCGATTATATTAATGATGGTATCCCGGTCATATTGCGCTGGTGTCCCGATCATGTTGCAACAATCATAATGAGATGGTGAGATGGTGTCCAGGTCATGATTTAATAGTGTGCTGGTCATGCTTTGTTAGCGTCCCGATCATGTTGTGATGGTGTCCCGATCGTTTTGTGACGGTGTCCGGTCATATTGTGACGGTGTCCCGGTCATGTTGTGACGGTGTCCCGGTCATGTTGTAACGATGTTTCGGTCATGTTTTAATAGTGGCCCGATCATGTGATGGTAGTGTTCCAATCGTTTTGTGTTAGTGTGTCGGTTTCGATGGTGTCCCGATCATATTATAAAAGTGTTTCGATCATATTAAGATACTATGCCGATGACATTAACATAATATGCCATTTAATCCAATATGTCAATTTTAGAAATATTATCCTGCAACACATCAATATCCTAATTCCCATTACAACCTAACAATTTGCATCGATCGAAAAATAATCAAAGGCGAATTCGATACACATTACCTAATCGCCTTAAAGAATATTGTTCAAGAAATAGAATATATATAATAATAAAAAATTATATGTCATTTTTCAATCGCAACGACATTATTTTAACAATAATATCCTCCAACGAAATCAATAAACTTGCAATTTTGCAATTTGCATCCATCAAAAACTATATCAAAATTAAATTCCAAATAAATTAATAAATGCCACCAATAACGACAACCTATAAGAATATCATTATCCAAATATCAAATTCAAAATAAATATATCCAAATAAATAAAACATAATAAAATATATATTAAATTCAATTTTATATTTAATTAATTTATTTTTAGATTATTCTAAAATTATATATATAAATAATCTACAACAATAGAAATATATATATATAATTATTTTATTTTATGCAATTTCTTTAAATATCAATGGGAAATATATCAATTACCAGGCAAAGCCTCGATACAACAAAGGAAATGATTGGTAGATCGATAATATATAATATAAATGATTGAAGGATATTGAAGGATTGTTTCTTGGCACGCAAGTGAACATTCCTCGCTGCACCAAGTCACTCAAGAGCCCCAAGAAGGAGAAGCCGCAACCAATGAGGAACAGGAATGTCAAGCCAACCTGTGACTTTGGGACACTTGGGACTTTGGATCCGGTATGATAGGCCTCTGCTAGCTTCACTCGCCTTCAAGCTCTCAGTTTCCGAGCTCTTTGATGCATCGAGCTCTTTGATGCAAGAGTTTATGCTGTTGCCGGGCCATCACCTTATTATTCACAAAGTAATAGGCCACAGCAAATGTTCTTTTCATCGTTTGGGTTGAGCTTGGGGATCTATATATATATATATATATATATGCGGCACATATTGTCTGTGTCTGGGTGTGTTTTGGTTGATCACAAGTGAACTGTTCCTTCAACCAAAACACACCCAGACACAGACAATATGTGCCACATATATATATATATATTATGTTTGTCAAACTTGTCTCTGCACTACCAACTCTCTGAAACAACCTTGGGTAGCTTTCCAGATTGCAAAAGCAACCCCTATGCTCTTGTTGCCAACTATTGCTTCTCCTTGCCCTCTTTCCAATGAAGTGACTAGTCACTACAGTCCTGGCAGATTGGTGATCCCTCCCGAAGAGATTTGTCTAGACATTTTGGGACGACATTCCCAGATCGCTCAAGGGTCCTCAGATCGCTCAAGGGTCCTCAGATCGCTCAAGGGTCCTCATTGGGTCCACAATCCGGTGACGACACTATCCCGAATGATCGCGACACGATCGTGTGCCTGCTCACTCCATGAAAGTGCTCGCGACTGCCTGCAAAGCGACATCGGCGATGGAGTCACCACAGTTAATAGAAACATATAGAAAAATACATTGCAATCCGAACCAATTGCAAAGAGCTGATCTGAGAATCTGGTAAGCTTTGGACAATATTGTCATTGTGTTAATCTCACCATCAAGATCTTCTTGTGCATTCTTGTGCACCAACATCTTCCAAACCTCTCCCTGACTTGAGCATGTTTCAAGCTGTTTTATTTTTCCGGAAGCTGAGGTTGATCCTTTCGGCCTGGAGAGCTTCCAGTAGCACAGTACTGGCATTGTAAATGCCTGCGAAGCTGCTGTGTGGCCGAGAAGCTGCTGTGTCAGGAGTTGGGGAGGGTATCCCTGATGTATTTGTCAACAGAAAGTTCCAAGAGAGGATATGGGGCTTTGGTTTTCGTACCTGGGTTTGGCCAGTGTATGTCATCCCCCAAGTAAAACCACGTATAGGCAACGGACTCCTAGTTCGTGCTCGGGGCGCTTACATCTCCGCACTCAGCATGTCCACACGTAGCCGCCTTGCTTATTATGTGGTTCAGGCCATTTTTCCGTCCGGATTGCTTGAGCATACCGTTCGCTGGTGATCACTTTAAGATTACCGAATCGTTTGATATCCTGGGTTGTTCTGGCCGCCTTCAGCGCAAGACTAAATTCATCTAAGGTTAACATCACAGGACCCAGGCTAACTCTAAGAATCTTGAACATATGATTTAAAACAGCAAAACGAAAGCAACAAAATGCAAATGAAAAAGCAAAAACACATGGAAAAGCAAAAGCAACAACGGTGTTTTTTGCTTTTTGGATTTGCTTTTTAGATTTGTAATTACTACAGTATATGTTTCGTTTGCATTTTGTTGTTGTTATTGTTGCTTTCTTATTATTTGGAAAAATCATATTTATGCTAAGTAGTTTACATAAATCTAAGGAAGATCAGTGAGTCCAATCTGCTTCCAGAGTCTTGTTGCTCATTTGTCACTTGCGTTGGAACCATTTGAAATGTCACTGCTTACATGTTATTTGCGGTCGGAGGTCTATGGATGGGTAGCCCGTCTCATGGGAAGAATCCTGATTGGGAACCGGATTTTGATAGCCATTCGCGGCTCTTACTTGGAGATCGTTGAATGATCTGGCTGATGTCAAATCGCAGGAGGTGGATGGATGGCAACTTTGTGTGCTGAGACCTTGGGTGGCAGTCTGCGGTTGATTGGACAGCAACGGCACTTGACCGTGAGCCTACGGCTTTAGATTAAAGCATATGCATGACTTGATCTCAAACGCTGCCAGTGCTTGAGTTTCCTTCAAAGCTGCACCTGTCGACTTTGACAGGATGGTTGTGTTTTCTTTGAGCGTTTTTCGGTGCTTCCTACCTGTGAATATATTCCTTGGTGGCGCCATTGGCGCCAGATCGCTGCTTCTAGCCACCTATGAACTTAGGCCCAGGCTGTCGCAAATCAAGAACCCACACACACACACATCCCATCGCTAGCCATGACTTGGAAGCTTTGGTCTTTCTGAGACAGGGCCAAAGACGGTCAAAGGGTTCACAAACATGCCAATCGTTTTCTTGGGGCTTTGATCTACAGAGGTAACTGCCTACTTCAGTTCATTGTCAGTTCTAGGCTAATCTGTCGTGGCAAAGCTTTAGACTCTTGGTCTTTGGAAAGACAGACTTGGTGGCCTTGCTTCGGGCCGTTTTACCGCCACTTAGGTCATTGGCATCGCGTCTCACGCGCATCGGGGCATCTTGAGGAGGGGTGTCTTCCGAACTGTCTTGGATTTCTGCTGTCCAGGCAATCTGGAACGAGTGTGAGTGGGGTGGTGCGGAGGCGGCAGCCCTTGTTGGCGTTCTTGCTGTTCTTGGGCCGATGCCGTGGACGACGTATGCAGTTGTTACCAAAGCCGTCCGCGTCCTCATGGTAAAAGTGGTAACTAGATGTAACTAGATAAAATGGCGCAGCAGTATTCTGTTGAATAGAAGTTCGATTCCAAAACCAACATGTTGGCTTTCATTTGTCTTGAAAGGAAGGCGGTAGGCCGGCGGTAGCAGTTTTTCCACTTCAGACTTTGGCCAAGGTACGATATGCGCACAAATGGCGCCGCCCAAGAAGTTGAGCAACAGTGCCACTTGGGCTGAAAAGAAGGCGGCCACTCCTGAAGTGCAAACTCAACCAGGAAGGGATGGAAGAACAACTGACAAACAGTACTGCCTAACTGATGCCCATGATAATATGATAGCAAAGGCTGGATGATAAAATCGGAAAACATGGCTTGATGTCAGATTCACTTGTCAAAGTGCTTGCCAATCCTGTTGAACTGGAGTCATGCTGATCTGATCCGCGCCTCCAGAAGCGGCTAGTATACAGGGCAGCAAAGAACCTGTGGCTGATGCTGATCCCAAGAGGCCCAGCCCGGTTGAGTGGGACGCAACTGACGGCAGCGGCTTCGATGTGTCAAACAGCCAGCGCAGCTGGTGGGAACATGATGAATCTCTGAACAAAGCAGCATGCAACAGCACACCTTGAACTGTCTGGGATGTACCCAGAAGTTGCTGCAAGGAGGAGGTCAAAGTAGGCAGCACGAAGGCCTTGCTTGTGGAGAGCTCACTAGCTTCATCAACACCAACTGCTCAATCTCAAACCTCCTCATCATTCCGAATCTCTGCACGCTTTTCAATCAGAAGAACGATTTCAATAGCGTTGTGGAGGTGCTGGCCCCTGCCAAGAAATATCGATGCTGAAGAATCCCAATCGGCCTGCATCACTACGAGGCGTATTGCCATAGCTACCTCGGCAATAGTCTGATGGGTCAATTCCTTCACAAAACGCGGATCACATGTGGTTGTAGTGTGTCCTATGCATTCCCCGAACAAAGCGTGTCCTTCTATCGATCTGTTTCATCTGTTTCTATCGATGGGACCGCAAACTTCACATCTTCACAAACGAGCTTCAGCAGAAGCTGCAGCCAGCCAATGCATCTTTGGAAGTGGCCTCGGGTTGAGAGCTCTTCTTGGAATAATGCAGGTAAAATCAACTGGGTGAGAGCTTGCTATGATCGTCACCCTTCAAATCCCACCCTATTGGCACGCAAAATATCAGAGGGAATCTACACTAGCGTGAATAATCCATCCTATCTGCCTTCAACACCTTAGATGAAACAATGCAGAAATCATATTACTGTATATAATATAATATATATATATATGTTACTGTAATTCATGTATATACCTTTCATAAGATCATTGAATGTAATGTCCGGATGCAGCTTCGTGGCTGGAAGTCCCGAGTCCATCCCACATTTTGGACGGCACTCGGCTGTAGAGAAGAACCGAAGAGCAAGTAGCCTGTGCGGCATTTTGGCGCAAACCTCCAAGGTTGTAACCTACTAGCGATGGCCTCCAACCTAATAGCGGATAGCGCAGCCCTCTGGTTTAAACGGCTTAAACTCAGGCTCGGTTTAAACGCATATGTTAAAACAAGTGCATGTTTCAACCAAAGAGTGCCAGCTCAATGCGTAGGTCTACACTGGCGGCCCTTGGTGGCACCCAGTGGTGACCTTCCTCGAGGTGCAACCAAAGCTGTGGAACTGGTGGAACCGTGAATCGTTTTAAACACGTTTATACCAAAGCTGTTTAAACACGTTCTGGAACAGTCGCTCTACGTCATGGGCATGAGCCTTCTGTGAGGCCTGTGCTTGGCGCCATAGCAAAATGGCCACACAGCCGACAAACAATGAGTCAGCTCAATTTGAAATCATCATCATCATCATCATCATCATCATCATCATCGTCGTCGTCGTCATGATCAGCATCATCGAAGCCTGTTTAAACCATGTTTGGACAAAGGAAACCCCAAAGCAGCTGGAAACATTTTAATGTTTGTAACCCCCAACCTAATACTGTAAACCTTCGAGGGTGTCAGAGTTTGTCGTGTGAAACTCCCAAACCATGATGTATGTACGATGTATTACATTGTCATTAGCTGACCCCAACCTCCAACAAATTCATGGGAGCATTGGAGCTTGCAAGAACATCACAACCGTAGGAAAAAGGCGACCCGTGGCTAGATTTGGTGTCATTTGATTGATATTATAGGCCTGTGATCTCTTGGGCGTGTACTCCACATCTCCAAAGAGCCCTTGAGAAAAGGACAAGTACCATTGATTACAACCCGCTGCTTGGGGAGGTTCCCTATTTGTCGTGGCATGTTGAGGGTATCTGAGACCGTATGTCATACAGCGACTTGATGAGACGACAGTCTCAAGTTGTGATAGTATGGCGTTGTGCCAGTATGGGGCGTGCGTGCGATGTGGTGCTCTGACACGATGCATGTGATGTGGCTGAGTATGGCCGTGGATGGAGCCTGTGGTCTCTTGGACTGAGGATGTGGTTTAGACCATGGCCGACCTTAGCCGCCATATCATAAGGCCGCTGCTTGAACCTACAACGTTCGCACTCCAGTCTTTTCCCAGCAGGTGATACCTACTATAATTTTAGCAGGTGATATGTTATATGTAATATCAAGCTAACAAGCTCTTGATGTGGCCAGCTGGGCGTGACTTGTGAGTATTTCACATGGAATCCCCTTCCTTGTGGGTCTCTTGGTGCAGCTGCGACAACTTGGTGCTGATTTCACGTCGATGGCCAATGGATGGCCATCGGGTCTGTGGAGCTCCACCGGCTCCGCCCCACCTGCAAGTCCCACAGCAAGGTATAGGACAGCAGCAGCGCCATAGGCCCTTCGTAAACCTGGGCGAACTAGACTGCTAAACAAATTGTTGGTGAATCCACAACAAAAAACACAATAGGTTGACAGTCCTATTGACACACCTCACATCCGTAGTCCACCTGGAGTCTGCCTGGTCTCTGGGGACATCCTTTTCTTCACTTCAGGTGTCAAGCAAGGTCCTCAGGGTTTCAAGATTCAAGCTCAAACTGATTGACGACATTCTAACAAAGAACACCACCCGGCTATCCTTCAAGCCTTCGAAAACCATCACAGTCATTTTATCGATACCTGATGATGGAAGCAGAGTGCTCCAGTAGGAGGCCACTTTGCTGTTTCCAGCACGTTGACCCAAGGAACAAATTGGAAACAGCTCTGGTTGTCGCATCCGTCTCTGAATGTCGGGGAAGAAGGCATGCCTAAACGGAAGCTTCCGGAACGACACGACACGCCCGAGGCTGTTAAGAGGCTGTTTTTGGTTTCCATGACGTTCTGAGAATCAGATTTGATCAGGTACAAAGAGTCTACAGTGGAAAATGAAATGGGGAGTGTGAGAAGTTTTCATCGGAACGTAGACCGTTGCTTATCACATCTCCGAGACCGTTGCTTATCACATCTGTGTTGCATATATGATTTTTCTTTCAGTTTCCCCACCTCTACTAACCCTTTCCTGGTGTGTCACGCGACTTGTTTGATCATCGACAATCGTAGAACAAATGGTATGCAAAAATGGTATGCAATCGCTTGGATTGGGGCGCTGGATCACGCATATCATATGCCAAACACCCAAATCTCATGTAGATATATATATATATATATGATTTTTATATATAATATACTACAAATAACGTCTGTGGTGCTTTTCCATATATCATTTTTCTTCCCGATCACCGAAGCATAACAACTGTTCTCCAAAGTGCTTGGGCACATGGAGTGAGGTTCAGCGGGTCTACAACCCTTGCCGGCTTGTGGTAGTGGCTTCAAAAGGATTGACACCACTTGGATTCAGTCTCACCCTGGCAAGCACGAGTCTGTGACTCAAGTGTGGCAAAACACAATCGATATGTAATGACTTCAACCTTCTCATGGAAATTGAGGTGCCTTTTACACTGGCTTTTCCGCAAAGCACCCCAGTTCAAACATACATAATGGTAATGCGGACATGGTATTAACCAACCCCCCCCTATTAGTCTACCCAGGGTTCAGGCCCCAATAATAAACTAATTTGAACTATTGAACTACTAATTTCCACAGTCACCACCCTCTAAAAAAATTTTGCTTGGCTGAACCCCCCCCTATTAGTCTACCCCCTGTCCCCCCAGGAAAAATTATATTTACCTCAATACTAATTCCCTTTCATCCCAACCCTTCCAAATACTAATTCCCTTTCATCTCAATTCTTCCAAATACTAACTCCCTTTCATTCCAATTCTTCCAAATACTAATTCCCTTTCATTCCAATTCTTCCAAATACTAATTCCCTTTCATCATCAGGTAATCCCCACTATTAGGGGGATGTGATCTCCAAAACCTCCAATCTCAGACCTTGTTGACCTTGTTGACCTTCTAGGGAGGGGGGCCGTTGATTAATACGACGTTGGCATTATGGCAATGTCTCTGACTCATTTGAGGTTTGGCGCTTGAAACATACCGTCCAACTCTGCCAGAACACTCTACCGTGCAAATCCAAGTGACCCAGCCGGGCTGAACACTAAAATTCCCGCGACCGAGAAGAGCCCTGGGCAGCGAAGGTCGGTCGGTCGTGATGAAACCCAAACAAATCCAGCTTTATCCTTAGGAGTTGTTGACTCTTGGGAATTGAAATGAAATCATGTTCATAAGAAGTTAGACGTGTTTTCGAATGCCATGGGTCCTCCAAACGGCTTACAAGCAACATGGCTAAACATTCGCATCACTCATCACCTTTCACGCTACCTTCTGCTCAAACCTGCCTCGGCTGTCGAAGCTTTTCAGCTCACTCCACGGTGCTGGCCTGAGAAAGGATTGAATCTGTGCTGGGCTGGAACGCAATGCTCATTGACACTTGTGAACATTACTAGTAGTAAGTAGTACAAGCTTACCTCACATTGAGTTGTCGTGCAATCTAAGGTGCTCCATGTTTCTTCGTCCCCATAATTATGGTCAAGCATCGACAGTGTGGTGTCACAATATTCAGGGAGGAACTGGTTACAGTTACCTTGTCAAGCTTGACCTAGTTGAATTCCTGTGGAACAAAGGCATGGAATACACACATCGGGACATAGTTGAGAATTGATGATTTGATGAACACGGACAACTGGAGTACATCTTTCACAGTCATCCAATCCTCACGTTCCAATTGAAGGACGCTCACCTGATGGCGTGAAGTGACTTCTCACCAAGCGACTGGGGAAGAAGCAACCCAGAGACGATCAGCATCACCTGATCGACAAACGGAGAGACGGACAGTGACATCAAATGAGTCAACACCGGACCATGAGGAACAAGAAGCTACTAGGAAGAAAAGGGCTAGTAGCAAGAAGCTAGTAGGTTGGAGGCCATCGCTATTAGGTTGGAGACCATGAAGCTAGATTCGATCAGCTGCTTGATCGAACGGGACCGCAAAACCGGATGCGCCGGGGTCCAAGTGACGAAGCAGCAAAGGTAGGCCTTGGTCCCAAAGGAAGACTTCTGCGAACCAAAGGTTTCTCAAAACATCCAAAGCCTCGATGGCGAGACCTGAGACCTGTCTTTAGCACGCCAAGCACAAAAAAAATTCACTTGCTGTATTTCTCAGTCGTCTCCCCAACTCTCCACACCTTTTGCAAAGAAACAAGCAGTCGGAACAAACATGGATTATTGATTATTGTCTTCCACTCTCAGCCAGATGCCGCCAGGGCTATCAGCAGCCAAGAGACGCAGTTGGACACCAAATTCAACCTGCTTCGCGGTGTAGCCAACATGTAGGCAAAGGCCACAGAGAGAAGCACAGCCCTGAGACGATGGAAAGTCTGTGGCCATTCAAAACTCAACATCTGATTGCAGAACTGACTTGAAGGAGTCTCTGCAGTGACACCTGATTCTTCAGTGACACTCTTCGCATCTCTTCGCAGTATTTAGAGCACTGACTCACAACACAAAGCCCAATGGAATCAGTTGGAATCTGATAAAAGGAATGTCTTCTCAGTGGCAAAGCTTTTAGCTTTAGCAAATTGTTCTCAGCCATGAGGATTGGCACGTCACAGACTTCCCACTGTGTACAAGTGTACACTTGCGCACAACATGCGAGCAAGCCACATGACAGCTTTGTGTTGAATATTGTTGGATTGTATACTGTGTATATATATATATAGAATGTGTGCCTCAGAACAAACGGGGCTGATCTGCGCTAAAACGACTTCTTTGCGTGCGAGCATCAAATTTCTGGATTTCTCATCGCCAAGAAGTTGACCTCAGTAAGCCACCCTGGTCATGTAAACTGTTTTGTCACTGCTTTGTTGCTTCTACAAATACGTAGTAGATAGATCCACGTTTGACTAAGGGTGTTGTGGCTCCACGATCCCGAGAACAAAGGCCCCCTACAGGATAGGTCAGCACCAAGATCCTCAAGACCCCAATTACATCTTGAAGACATGGGAACCAGGGATCGCAACCCACATCCCCCTGTTCTCGTGCATGCTAGCGCTGACGTGATCCAAGAGGCTGATGTTCATAGAAGCTCCAACGATGTAGCTCAACAAATACCCCCAAGTTTCCAGAGAAAGGAAGATGTTCGCAGCCTGGGATGCGAGTAGTGATCTTTCTACCGTCGTGGCCATGGATCAAACGTGTTTTTACTTCAATTTATATAAGTATATTATTCCTGCAATCCAGGGAGTTGATGAAGTGCCTAGCTTGCTTGCCCCATTCAGGATTCAATGTTGATAGTGGAACATCTTTAAGGCGTCATGGACAATTCAAGCAAATGTCACGCACAATGTGTCAAGGTACGCATCTAATGTACTAAGCGCCCAAATCTGGGTGCTTCCTGAAATGAACACTGCCTACTTGAGAGAGGAGGGGGTGAACGAAAGGTAGCAGGCAATCACAAGTAACCCTGGTAGAAGTCCACGACGGCGTGAACCGGCGCAGGGGGGATTTGATCCAGGGGGGGGGGGGGCCCCCCCCCCCCGACGAACAGAATCAACTCTTACAGGACCAAATTCAATGCACAATCCCAACTCCTGATTGTAATACATTTTTGCTAAAGCAAGGAGAACTCAGGTAGCTCAAGCTACCTTTCGTGATCAGCTTTGGAATAAAACCAAATGAGCACCTCATCCTGTATAGTTCAAGCTCCCGCACGGGAGCAACCCACTCCTGGTTCTGTATGCAACATCTCTGCGCAAGAAGCTATGCATGCCCGCGAGCCAAAGGCATTCTCGACTAAAGAGCCTTAGGAGAACGAGCCGCTCACACTATGAATGGATCAGTCAAGCTATCGGTTGAGCCCCGCTTCGATTTCGAAGGAACACCAATTGCCCCTCCACAAAAAACAAAGAGGACACAAAATGATAAAACGTGACCTTTGTGGTGCAAACACGCAAAAAAGACAAACACACCCGGCCAAATGAGACCAGAAGTCTCAACACATTCCAAGCTGCCCCAGGTGTAGAGCTTGGACCTTGATGCCTCGCATGCTCGTTCCTTAGACCGCTAAGCCTCTCAAGGCCGAATTCCACGGGTCAAACAGAACATCAAGCGGTGACGACGAATCACTGGGGTGCTGAATTACAGTAGATCTTGGTGTTGAAGTCGTGTTGAAGTCCCATTGGCAAAGTTCGGCTTGGATCGCAAGTCATACTACTGTAATATAATCAGTGGTGCTTGTACAAGCTTCTAGTATCATTGGTACTATCGTGAATCATTAAGTATATTATCCTATTGGTACAAACCCTGGTGGTACACTCCTTCAAACAACTACCTGGCAGCAATACATGCCCCACCATTGCCCAACCCTGCGGACATCTAAGGTGCCAAGAAGAAGTCAGGTGCAATGCCTAGCACAGGGATTCGGACATCCACACACTATCAGAAACTGAAGACTGCGATCTGCTCCGCGCTCCTACCAAAAAACAAGCTTTGCCATTCCCGTTCCAAATGAGGCTAGAAATGGCAACATTTCCACGGGTTTAGATGGTTTTGGAAAGTGGTGCACAACCCTTCGTCCACTGACAAGGTGGTGGATTGAGAATCACGAAGCAACCATGTCCTGCCTTGGTTTAAGTTCGGAAACTAGGAGCGTAGGGTTCGGAACCTCATTAGCAACAAGCTCTTCATACCAGTTTAACATGTTGTCACCACTCCAATCCTCATGGTGCCCCCTTCTGTAATAAAAACAGTTGCTCACATGAATGTCACGTCATGTCAGGTACCCCCCCCCCCCCCCCCCCCCCCTCACCACCTCCACAACCCCCGCAAACCTCACCAAAAAATAGTTTCTGAACACGACAAACACGGTTCTGAACTCGACAAAATAAATAGTTTCTGAACCCGGACAACAAAAAAATACCAGACCAGTTGCTGAAACCGACAAAACCAGTTGTTTATGAACCCAAGAAGCTTCTGAACCCATGGTTTTAGTTTCTAAACCCGGGCCAGTTTCTGAACTTACTTTGTCCGTCCTGCCTTTGTTCCCTGCCAGCAGCGGTAGCGAAGGTTGCGCTTGCAGTGCCCAGACCAATAGGTGTGCAGTATAAGCGGAGCACAAAACCTGAAGCAGTTGTGGTTGGAAATCAAACCTTGACTCGCTCTGCACTTCTGTTCAATTGTAACAGATGCTGCTTGTATTCACCGTACATCTTGTTCCTTCGACACTTTCAACACTTGCAATCCCAGCAAGTCCAAAGGACGGGTTAACGCTGGTAACCGTTAGCGTACAGGACGCATTTCACCTCCCAACGTCCAAAACCTCATTTTCACATGTTTTTCACGGCCTTTCACCCTCTTTTTACGGGCTTTTCCCGGCCTTTTCAAGTTTCCAGCTCCCGTTTTGCTAAAGCCCCGGTTAAACTGGTGTGTTACTAAAGAACTGGTTAAACTGGTGCGCTGACCCACTGGGAATGCAAGTCTTGCATGTCATGATCTCGTAAGCATGCGGAAAGAATCATGCAACAACCATCTCAGCAAAAAGTCTGGATGTCTTCATTCCTGTCGCTGTCGCTGTCGCAAGAACGCCAAGGCACTACAAGTAAGATCAGCGGGGCAGCGATGAAACCGGCACGGGACATAGCATATGGCCTGGGACAGCTTACTGGCTCACAAGCGTGAATTGGGTGAAGTAGCGATTTGTGTCCATGTTTTGCAAGCATTAACAATCATTAACAGCTTTGGGCTGGTTTCAGGTACCGTCACCAGAAAACACCACTATGGCTGTAGATCTCGGCGATCCATCTACTGTAATGATGTTGCCGTCTTGAAACGGGCAAACACAATCACTTATACCTTGTTCAAAACGCCCCACGTGCCACGAGCCGTGAAAGGCGGATGACCATGTCTTTTTCTTGATACAAGTTCCCCGCTCCTCCCCCTTGCATAATACTTGGGACTTGCGTACTTGCTTCTACTTTGGTGACCTTTTTGCCGACAAAAAACATTGCTTCGATGCTGCAACCGGTTTTCCAAGGCACATGGACAAGACGCCCACACCCATGACGCCAGAGAAAATGGCCAGGCTGGCATCCCAAACACCAAGACGTTGCTCAAATGATCTCTGATAGCCTGGACGACGTCATACGGACACGACATAGGTGGGTGGGTCCACCCACCACCTGCTCCACCGTCGGGTGGACTTCGTGTCTCGGGTCCCCGAAACGGTGCGTCCTTCCCATGTGACACGACCACGTCTGACACCGTCGAAGGACGAAGGACCGACCGTGTGCTTGACGGCGAAGCCCGTGTCCGGATGAGGAACAGAGTAACTGGAAGATGTGGGGTTTCGTATTGCGAGGGTCTCTTTTTCCCCCTCTGATCTGAGTTTCTTTCTGAAGAAACGCAGGCTGTGGGATTGTATTGTATGATCTCCAGTGTGTCCGTTCCTCATGTGCTATGGAGCAACATGCTTGCTGCTTGCATGTGAAGTATGGGGGATGCTTCGAGGGGATGCTTGGCCGAAGTTGATCATTCCATCCCCCACGTAAGTCTGGCGCCTCAAAAAGCCAAGCCATGATATGCCAGGACCAGTCTATCCATATCCAAGTACATGACACCTCAAAACTTCGTTTCCGTAGGTTGCTGCACCTAAAGTTGAACTTGTAGTATTTTACTTTGAACTGACTGTTAGAGTTTCAGGATTCTGGCATCCCCCCTCCACTCCTGGCTGTGTCTGGCAAGCGATCGCTGCTTTGTCCCTCACAGTCATGGCCAGAATTGCCAGCGCACTGCAGAATGTTAAGGCCAGTGATAGAGTCGGCCAGAACACCAGCAAAGCATCAGGACGAAAGCTCCTCGGGACCAATGAGCCAAACCAAACATGTGTGGATGATGAACTTGGCGCTGCTGCAGCAGGAAATAGCAGGATACTGTATATGATTATATATGCAGGAATGCCTATTCTGCTGGAGTGTCAGTGTGAAACAACACCTCGCCAGCCAAAGCCATGGCAGGTGAGAATCCCCAGTAGACCAATCGAGTCTCTTTTGTTGATCACCCGGTACTGTTCTCTAGGCCTTACTCCAAAGTTTGAATGTTGTATGAATGTTGTATAGGTTGTGCTTATGTCAAATGCAAGTACATTACATGCTCGAACGAACTACAGTACATGCCACGCGTCTGACAAGTCTTTTCTAGCATGGTGCAATAATGCGGAGAGCGGAGGAACGGGAGAAAGTCAACCTGTTAAACATAACATACTCACTCACTCCATCTTCGAAGAAGCTGAAGACTTTCGCTCTGAAACATATCGCCGGCCCCCGGCTTCACATATTTTGGATGCTAAGAGTTGGAGTCGCCGTTGGTCCAAGAGTCGCTGGTGTAATCGCTTCCGGGCCAGAAGGGTGCTGGACGTTCGCCACATGAGGATAGCGCGTGAACCTGAGGTGAACGTGTTGTGTCAAGAGCTTGGGCGAACGAAAAGACCCACCGGGAAAGATGTCACATGAGACTTGAAGATGTCTGGTAGTGCTGGTAATTCTCCGATTTGCTCTGCAAACTGAAAGGTCTCGCGTCACAAAGATGTTTGGAATCCATTCTGCTCTTGCCGTCCCAACCAAGCCGAAAGACTGGTGGGAAGCTTTCCTCTCCGGCTCTTTGATGGCGTGTACCTGCAAAGTGCCCAAAGTGCTCTCGGAACCTCTTCTCGGCTTGAAACATGCCATTTTGCATTCAATCTGATAACTGTTGTGGTCAAAACGTCCGAAAGTCCTGGGCAACAAAAGGTTTCACAATAACTATTTCTTTCTAAGCAGTCAACAGTTTTAGATTGAAAACAATTCACTGCATACAGAATCATACAGACATCTACAGTACATACTTACATACTATCCTGGTCACAAACATGACTCATCTTCTTTTTCTCTCAAGGAATTCCCGAGCTGCCCCTGTCGCGTCACCCGACGAAGAATTGTCACTCGTCTGCCTTGATGACTGGACGCTTCGTCTGCACCAGCGAGGCGGACGTCGCCGGTGGCGACGCCGCACAGGTGACCTCTGCAGCAACCTCAACGGTGGGTGACTCGGCGCAATGTCAACACGCACGCATGAGAGTCAAAGTGTGGATGTCGTTTCAAACCATGAACACATCAATCATCATCATCAATCATTCGAGGGGTTCAGAGGATTTTGCCTATCGCTTGTGGAGGCCTGTGGGATACATCATGCTGTGGATCACAGTGTGTTTAATTGGAGTTCTTCAAGTCTTTCAATGTCTTTCAAACCATTGTTCTTTCTGAACCATTGGGCTTCAAAACCACTGGAAATCTGATGCAATCTCTTCGACTGTACGTGTTGGCCGACTGGCGCCCTGTCGACCCTGGCAATCTGTTGCCCAAATGTGTCGGCGTGGCATCTACAGAAGGGTTCCAAACATTTGTTAGACAACTTGGCTCTCATCATATATCCTCTGCCGCTCTACAAACTCCTTGCATCTGCCGAAGACTCCACCTACAAATACAAACTCCTGTATGTCATCTGCCGAAGAGGTGTCTGACATTTATGATTTTCATAATGTCATAGTACGCTGCATAGTCTGGTTGGCAATGGTCCGAGTTTGCAACAGCATGTCTGCCACTCTTCATCCGGTCCATGAAAGTGGACATCTCCAAGCGCCTCTGGCCACTATTACAAGAAGCTTGGCCTGCAATTTTCTTTCGTGGTCCCCACCCAGTTGCAGAGAAGGGACTGAATTCACCAAGACAAACAGCTCCAAGAGGGACTTCACCATGAATTCAGTTCAGTTCAGGAAAGTTGGCTTTGCCATGGCGTTAGTTCACTAGGAGTGAGGTGGGAAGGATGTAAGATTTGAGCCAGCGACTCTGCGAAAGGTTTTGGGACATCAACACTCCGTCTGCTTTGGAAGTCTGCACAAAATCTTCGCGGATATAAAATCACAAAGAGGACGCTACTAGTAACAAAAGGCATCGCTACCAGGAGCAAGGACGCTGCTAGGGGCTCCTGGCCTTACTGCAGGTTTTGCGAGTCTCCCCCCCAGCAATTGTGTCGTGAGACACCGCTCCCTTATTCAGGGAGCCCGTCTCGGTGTACGAGTCTGCCAAGGGCGCCGTCTCAGTGGGGCAGGAAGTCCTGAACGACAAATGCAGCTGATTCCTCCAACCTTCTGTGGCCAAAAGGCTTGTCATAAAGGCCAAATAATCTGAGTAGCTGCGGAGGAACTCTTGAAAGGAACCTCCCACTAAAGTGTTCTAAAGGCTGACATATATACTGTATATATATCATAATCATAATGAATAAACTACCTAAGTAAGTACAGTATAGTGAGTCCTCTCCATTATAGTACTATCTACCATTGCTTCTTACCAAAGGCCATGCTAGACCTCCCCAATGAACCCACCAGCCTGGAGTAATCACGAAATCTCCGATGAACGCCAGGACCTCGGCTCCAGAGTCTCAGGACATCAAAGGCAGATCAAACCATCCAATACGTTCAAAAGTGCTGTTCTTGTTGTTGTTGTTGCTGTTTTAGCTCGCGGCCCTGCCTCCTTATAACTGTATCATTAAGTAAGCGCCTACCTATATAATTAAGTAAGGAGGCAAGCTACTAGCAATAGAAAGCTTCAAGCTAGGATGCAGGATACGCTTCTTCTAAGAAACTCCCCCGAACGAAGGCGGGGGGAGCTTCCTTGAAGAGCGGCTCGTACTAATGATTTGGTTTCCAGACCTTTAGGGAAACTTATACAACTTCAAAGAAGAACCAACTATAACTATATATATTATAATATAAACAAATTCACAGTCTTCCGCCAAATCAATCTTGCAACTCTGTCTTCAATCAAACACAAACAAACAGTCCTGCAACTGCTTTTGAAGTTGCTTATAGTGCGTTCCAAAGTCTTGACGTTGGCCGAAGTACCGTCGGCATTGTTTCAGCAATGGTCTTCCCAATAGTCTTGACATTTAGGAAACAGCTGTTTCACTGTTCAGTTGACATGTGGCATGTTCGCTTTAGCATGCCCATGTGACAGTCGTTTGCAGGCCAAATTGTGTTTGTTTGCCTGTTGTTGTCTTAACAATTAAGCAAACACTATCTGTAAAAAGTCCTTCATGCCATGACTCTGGGGAAAAAACTGAGTCGGAGTGTGCTTTGGATAGTTTTAAGCTTTAGTCTTAGCACCAAACTGGCGTTCAGGCACAGAGAATTCTCTTTCATCACTGTCTTGTCCGTATGCTAAAATCCTATGTTGGGCCTGTTTGGAGCTTTGAATAGTCGGTTCAGCCATAGTCTTGACACCATGGTAGACCATGGGAGCACAATCCCTTTGCACCAGCTGATCATCAATCTCTGTAAAAATAATCGTTCTTTGATGCAAAAACACTGTTCTTGTGGGGGTTTAGGCTGCAGTCTTGACATGTAAAATGCATTTTAATATGCACGCTTTCACCAGGGTCTTGACATACAAAAATCCCGGTGTACATGCTCCAAATGCCTAGTCTTTGGAACCGACGACAAACAGGATACACAAAGAGCTCAACCCCTCCGAAGTCAAGCTTGCACAACGAGTTGGAGCCACATGCTCATGAACAAGGACATGTGGATTTGTCTTCCG